GGCCAAGGAGGAAGAGAAAGGGCAGGAGTCAGCAGGCGGGAAGGAGGAGGACACAGGGAGGAAAGGATGAGGCAGAGAGGAGTGCAGGGGACGGGAGGCCGCTGGTGAGGCTGGGATTCTGGGGGTCAGAACTGAGCTGTGGAGACTAGGGTCAAATTGGGGATGGACATGCAGTTCCTCAAGGTATTTGTGGGAATTGTTGAGGTCTCCACCTTCCTGAGACAGAGCACATCCACCTCCCAGAACCAGTGGGCCTAGTGGGGAGGGTCGCAGGGACTTCAGTGTCTCCCGCCCACCTGCACCCACCTTAGTTGCCAAGAGGAAGTGGGGGGGGCAGGTCCGGGGCCTGCCATGAGGAATAAATGAGATGGTGCAGGAGGAGTGTGCAGCCCAGCACCTTGGTCACAGCAAGTGCTACAGAAGCGCCTGCTGCTGTCATCATAATTGTTACCACTATTACTAGGAAATCTGGCCTCCCTGTAAGTTTCTCCTTCAGAGGAAAGGCCCCTCTGGATAGAAGCCCTGGGAGGACATCTGAGCCCTTTCCAGGGACAGGCCTGAGTGATGCATGAGCAGAGCTGGGGGGCCACTTGCCAGGAAGAGGCGTGATGCCTGAGGCAGGCTGGGGAGAGCTGCCACCTCCTCCAGGTAGAGAGTTTGGCACCCAGAGATTCTAGCCAGACAACATCTTCCTTCCACCCCCTCACTTTCTCCAACATCCCCTTCCTGAGAGGCTTTGCCCACAGGCTGGGGGCGGCGGTGGGGAGGGGGCTGACTCAGGCCCAGCTGTGGGGGACAGAGGAAGGAGAAGTGGTGAGGAGACAAACAGGGCTTGGCCACGGAGGCTCCTGGAGATGGAAGTGGCCTGGGGGGGGGTGGGTTGTCAAAGAATCCCCTCCTAACTCCCTCTCTGTGTTTTGGGTTGGAAAGGTGGAAAGGCACCATGTGCAAGGTTTGAATCCTCGGAGACTCAGAAGGTTCTTCCCTGCCCTGGCCGAGTAGCATCATCCTGATGCGCCAAGGTTGTGGATTTGATCCTGGGTCAGGGCACATATAAGAATCAACCAATGAATGCATGAATAAGTGGAACAGCAAGTGATGTCTCTCTCTCCCTCACTCTCTCTCTCTGTCTTATAAAAAAAATAAGTCCTTCCTCTGTCCCATTTCAGACTTTCCTCCCAAGCCCTAGCATGGCAGTGTTTAAGTTCAAATGTAGTCTCTACCCCCTCACCCCCAGTGGAACCCGGCAGCTCTTCCTTACGTCTAAATGCACTCTTTTCTCCCAAACTACCATCTGGAAGTTCTTCCCCATGGCTATCTGGAGTCTTGTTTCTTAACCCAGAGAGACTCTCGGCCTCAGGCCACCCTCCTTCCCAACACCCACTCATGCTCCTGTAGCTCCCCAGAGCTGGGTGCCCAAAAAGGAGCCCAGCTGTGAAGCACAGCCCAGCTGGTCCCTGTCCCCAAGAGGACTGACAGGAAAGAAAGCTGGACTGCTGACCTGAGGCCTCAGTGCCCTCCACTGCCCCAGCCCAGCTTCCACTTCCCTCCTAAACGCCATCTTCCATCAGCACTTCTCATGGACAGCCCCTGGCATGATGCCCCCGAGCAGCTGCCACCCTGGGCTGGAAAGAGAAAGGCCCCCGCTCCGCCTCCCCAGAGACAGCGCAGCTCCAGCTGGTGGTGGGCAACAGCATGAAAAGCCTGAGAAAGAACCCAGGTCCTCCAGACACTGTGGCCAGAGCCTCTCCCCACAGCCCTCAAGACCTTCCTGACTCTGCAGCCTCCCCTGCTCCCCTTGAGCCACGTGGGTGAGCACCTTGCTGTCAGACTTGCCAGGACCTTTAGGACCCCAGGCGTCTGCCTCTCTGTTCACCAGGCTCCCTCCCACGGCCATGCACGGGCTCCTTCCCAGCTCTCGGGGGCCTTCCCTGACTCATCTTCACTTGTACACACCACTCTCTATCCCGCCACCCTGCTTTATTTTCTTCACAGCACTCTGAACATTTCCTACTTGTCTATTTATTTGAGGTGACTGCCTGTCTTAGCCTTTAGAAGGCAGAGTCCATGGGGGCAGCGACTTTGTCTTTTTTACTCTGAATGACAGTGTCTGGCACAGGTGCTCAGTGAAGTATCTGGAAGGGACTATTAGTCAGATTTGAAAAGGAATGAACTTGTGTCCCCTGCTACAACGTGGAGGAACCTTGAAGACCTTATGCTAAGTGTCACAAAAGCACAAATAGGGCATGGTTACACTTACATGAGGCACTTAGAGTAGTCGGATTCATGAGCTAAGTGGAATGGTGGTGGCCGGGGGTGGGGGGAAGTTGGAATGGGGAGTTGTTTAAAGAGCATGGAGTTTTGCAAGATGAAGAGTCCTGGACACTGGTTACACAAGAATGTGAATGTACTGAACACTGCTGAACTGTACACACCAATGGTTGAGATGATAAATTTCATGTTAAGTGTATCTTACCGCAATTAAAAGTAAAAACAAACAATATTTGGATGAGAGAATGGATAGATCTCAAGTTCCACTTTCCCTCCCAGCTCAGGAATTACCTAAGTTATCAGAGCTATCAAGGTTCTCAGAGGCGATCCTGTCCAACTCTTTGAATACATAGGATGGTCACACGGCGAGGCCAAGTCAGGAAGGAACTGGACTCTCAGTGCCATGGGCATGAGAAGACACAGCCACTCTGCCCAGATCTAGGGCCACATGCTGCCTTTTCCTGCCGAGGGCATGGGACTGCCCACTCCCCCGCCCTTGGGGGTCAGAATGAGATAGAAGATCCTGCCAGGCCTGACTGCCACATGCTTCCTCCCTCTCTCTCTGCAGAAGCCCAAGTATCAGGTGCGCTGGAAGATCATTGAGAGCTTCGAGGGCAACAATTACACATTCATCGATCCCACCCAGCTGCCCTACAACGAGAAGTGGGAGTTCCCCCGAAACAACCTGCAGTTCGGTGAGATGGGATCCCAGCACACCAGGGCCCCCAGTCACAGGGCAGCATGGGCTACAGGGAGCCTGTGGCCCTTAAAGAAAGGGCCCTTTGGTGCCCAGGGACCTAAGGAGCCTGCATGCTCGGCAGGTAAGACCCTGGGAGCCGGCGCCTTTGGGAAGGTGGTAGAGGCCACAGCCTTTGGTCTGGGCAAGGAAGATGCTGTCCTGAAGGTGGCTGTGAAGATGCTGAAGTGTGAGTAAGGGGAAGGGGCCTGGGGAGTTTAGGGGAACTGGTGGGAAGTGGTGCACGCTGGGGGAGGATCTGTCCTATTGTCAGAAGAGGCATCACCTACATTTTTGGTCTATCAGAGCCTGGGGACAGAACCTGGGGTTGGCAGTGAGGACTCCTAGATTCCTTTCTGAGCTCCAGGCTCCCTCTAACTCCTGGGTGTGGAGGGGCTTCTGACTGAGCTGGATACACAGAGAGGCTGGGGTACACAAAGGCCAGCCTGGGGGCTTGGTCACAGCTTGGCTTCTTGCCACCTGAGACCAGCTCAGTGACTGGCCATCTCTCCTCTCTCTTCCTAACATCCATCTGTGTGTCTGCATTTCCCCTTCTCCCACTTTTGGCTCCTGATTGCTTTGGGGCTCTGGGTATCCCTGCCTACTCCCCTGGGTATATCCTATCTGTGTGGCTCTCCATGTCCTGCTCTCTCCCCATCTGTGGGACCTGTGGTCCCTCCTCCCAGCCACGGCTCATGCAGACGAGAAGGAGGCCCTTATGTCTGAACTGAAGATCATGAGTCACCTGGGCCAGCATGAGAACATAGTCAACCTTCTGGGAGCCTGTACCCACGGAGGTGAGGGACCCTGATGGCATGGGGCCCATGGTCTTGGGGCCTCTCAGGTGTCTAAGGGCCCCAGGGCCACCTCAGTCCATCTTCCACTTCCCATCTCCTCCAAGTGAAGGTAGGACCCCTGTCTCAGCATCAGTGTCTTTTAAGTTCCAGACACCTGAGCTGGTCAAGCTGCTTGTGCCTGGCAGATGGTTCTGGGAGCTCTGAGCAGTGGCTCTCAGACACCAGTGGGCATCAGTCACCTGGAGAGGGCACTAACAGTGCAGATCCCTGGGCCCTGCTCCAGGCAGTCTGATTCTGTGGCTCTGGAGTGAAGCCCCACAGCCTATTGGGACTCCATGTCCATCCCACCCTCTTCCGTAGGAGCTCTGACCTTTATGGAGCTGCCATAGACTGCCTTTGAAGACAGAATTCTTTGGCTACAGGGTTTTTTTAGTTTTTTGAGATTCCTCTACTTTAGACAGATGTGGCTCCTAAGTCCTGGTCCAGGGTGCCTCACTGCCCGTGTTCCTGTTCACATGGGGAGTGGGTTAAGGGGTGCACTCACCCCACTCTCTTGGCTCTCTAGGCCCTGTTCTGGTCATCACTGAGTACTGTTGCTATGGCGACCTGCTCAACTTTCTGCGAAAGAAGGCTGAGGCCATGCTGGGACCCAGCCTGAGTCCAGGCCAGGATCCGGGTTACAAAAACATCCACCTGGAAAAGAAATACGCCCGCAGGTAGCACCCTGGCTAAGGACAAGAAGGAGGCTCTGACTGGGAGGTGGGGCCCCAGGTCTGTCCCCATAGCCAGCTCAGGGTCGGGTGGCAAGTGGCCCTCACATTTCCATCTGTGCCATGGGGAGTAGCCCCCCCCAGGTCAGAAGGCAACTCAGTCTTTCTACTTACTCTCACCAACCGACAAATACTTGAGGCTGGAGAATCCACTGTACTTGGGAGTAGCCAGTGGCAGTTCCCCACATCCCCACGGAGAAGTGGGAACAGAGTCTGTGGGTTGTTGAGTGAAAGGAGGCAAAATGGCATGACAGCCATTTTGGTCCACTTGGGCCTCAGTTTCTCCAGGCAAGCCATCAGGAGGCTGAACCTCTCAGGGTCTTTCCTGTGTGGTAATGCTGTGATTCCTGGAAACCACGCAGAGGCAGATGGACAGAGCCACATGGGGAACCAGAGAGAGGAAGTTGCCAGTTTCTTGTCACATATCAGTCAGAAGCAGAGGAGGGGCCTGGGCTAGATTCTGCTCTTTTGACTCCTGGCCCAGTGCTTACCTGAGCCACACTGCTCTCCTGGAAGTCTCAGTCTTGGGGCTTGTGGGGCCTCAGGACCAAGCTGCTGGGGCTGGGGCAGGATCAGAACAAGAAAGGTGTACACTGGGCCCCTAGCCCGGCCACTGTCAGCTGCTAAGCCTGTGGAGGCAAAAGGGGAAGGAGGCTATTTCACTCCATCCAGTGTGCTTGAACATGGGTGCTGGCCAGATCTACTTCCTCTTCTGATTCTCTGACACTGGGCCTCTGTAGGCTGGAACCTCAGGCCAGATCAAATCAAAATGAGAACCAAAGTATTAGCTTCAATCCTCAAATCCACCGGTGGGAAAAGGATTCATGGAATGGGGTGATTTAAAGGGCAAATGGCATGTGAACCAATCCTGCCAATGGGATCCACGCTACATTAATAGAAGTATAGTTTCTAGATCAAGGGAGGGGATGCTTTTGCCATGGTCTGCCCATAAATGAAACGCTAGGTTCTCTTTTGGGGAACACTAGAGTATAGACACTGTCAAGGTGCACATTTCTATCGCAGAGGGGACAGGAGGGTGAGAGGCCCAGAACTCATCAGGTTGGAATATTAGAAGTGGTAATGGCTCTTCATTCTAGAGCAGTGCTTCTCAAACTTGCCTGCTACCCAAAACATGGGCTCATAGGCATCACCAGAGAGCTGTTAGAAATGCACAATCCCAGGCCCACCCAGACCTGCTGAATCACAATCTGCACTTAAATAAGATTCCTCAGATGAGTCTATGCACATGAATTCAAGTTTAAGAAGCACTACTCTGGACCAGTGGGCCTAAACTCAGGCTGCACACTGGAATTGCCTGGAGAGAGTTCAAAGTCCAAATGACTAAGTTTTGCCCCTAGAATTTCTGAAGTGGCCTGGGCACAGGGACGTATTAAAAGCTCCCCAGATGATTTTAATATGAAGCCAGGGGTAAGGGCCATGGGTCCTAGAATATGCTCATATCCCTGCAGGGCTGTTATGGGGAAGGGGTAGCCCACTTCTCTGTGGCCCTTAGGGCAGAGCAATGACCAGGAGGAGAAAAATCTCTGGGGCAGACTGACATCACAGATGGTGAAGAACTTTCTAATAGGCAGAGCTGCCCAGAGAACAGGTTGTCAGCTCCCTCACTGGATGGCCAAGCAGGGATCAGTGATCACTCAGACAGAATGTGGCAGGGGGATCCTTGTCAGAAAAAGATGTTCAAGTTGACTCCAAGGTCCCTTCCCTTCCCTGCTGAGTGGCTGGAGGCCAAGACCTGAGCTGGTGTGATTGGGACTGATTGGCTCTTGGCCCTCCTATGTAGGGACAGTGGCTTCTCCAGCCAGGGTGTGGACACCTACGTGGAGATGAGGCCTGTATCCACTTCTTCTTCAAATGACTCCTTCTCCGAACAAGGTGAGGAGGGAGAGGGAGAGGGAGAGGGGCTGCTGGGGGCTGGGCAGGGAAGGGCGGGGGTGTGGCAGGCCACCCTGATGCCTCTTCCCACACCAGACCTGGGCAAAGATGAGTGGCCACTGGAACTGCGAGACCTGCTCCACTTCTCCAGCCAGGTGGCCCAGGGCATGGCCTTCCTTGCTTCCAAGAACGTGAGTCGGGAACCAGGTCCCCCATGTAGTCACCCAGAAGGGTGGGGGGCCGCTGAGCCCCCATGAGGCTGGAGGAGGATGAGGGGGAGGAAAGCAGGCATGAAGGGGCAAGACAGGAGCCAGAACGCCAGAAAGCACATGGGCAGTGGCCTCGAAGAGCTTTAGGAGGGGGTGGGAAAGAGCTGCGCCAGAGCTCTTGCAGGGGGGCCGGGTGTGCAGCAGGCTGCTGTGCACCCATATTCAAGAACAGGTGTTAGTTTTAACCAACAGTATGAACAGGACAACTGCTGGGTCAATGGCGTAAAGCACACGGTCTTGTGGGGATGAAAATGGAACCTCCCTAAATAGTTGAGAGGCTATGAGGTGACCTGTACAGTGTACAATACACTCTGTCCAGGGATAAGTGCCCCGGGAGTAGGACAGGTGACCATCCTCCTTAGAGCATGACTGGGAGTTGATTGCTGGCTCTGCCACTTGCTGTGTGACTTTCAGCAATATTGGAATTCTGAGCTTCTGTCTCTACATTGATAAAATGGGCATGATCACAGGGTTGAGGGCAAAACAGGGTTACAATGTGTGCAGGTGCTTAGGGAAGGGCCTGGCATGGTAGGGCCCTGAAAACGGCAGCTGCTGTTATTAGCAGCTGATGTGGGCCAGTGATGGCTCACTGAGCCAGGGCTCACTGCTTCTCGGCCTGTGTAGACGCGTAGCTCAATGTCAGCTGCTGCTTAGGGCCAAACAAGTGTGATGGTGGTTTTTAAACACTGAATTGTCTGATCACATAAAATCTTCTCAGCCCCTGGTAGAAGGGATAGGAGCCAGGGTCAGGACAACTGATGCCCACTCCCTCACAAGAGGATGCCGAGGCCTTCTGGGGTTCTGTCTTCTCCTGCACTTTGAGCTCAGGTAGGGGAGGGGCCAGGACTAACCCTGTCTGGATCCCCCAGTGCATCCACCGGGATGTGGCAGCCCGAAATGTGTTACTGACCAGTGGGCGTGTGGCCAAGATTGGAGACTTTGGACTGGCTAGAGACATCATGAATGACTCCAATTACATCGTCAAGGGCAACGTGAGTGCTGGGAGGTGTGGACCAGGCTGGGGAGAGGGTGGTGAGCCAGGGCCCAAGGTGACTGGGGTCTGCTGTGACAGGCCCGTCTACCCGTGAAGTGGATGGCTCCAGAGAGCATCTTCGACTGCATCTACACGGTTCAGAGCGATGTCTGGTCCTACGGCATCCTCCTCTGGGAGATCTTCTCACTTGGTGAGCAGCCGGCCTGGTGCAGGCTCAGCTATGGGGCTCATGTTTGGTTACCCACAGTGTCTTATGACTCAAAGAGGATGTTAGTCCAGGATGCTTGGGGCCCAGAGCAGAGCAAGGGCTGGTGGAAATGAAGGGATGTGCAGAGCATCTTAAAACCAAGTGCTGGCCCAGCAGGGTATGGCTCAGTAGTTGAGCACTGACCTAGGATCCAGGCGATCAGGGTTTAATTCCCGGTCAGGGCACATGACTGGGTTGTGGGCTCGACCCCTGGTCAGGGGCGTGCAGGAGGCAGCCGATCAATGACTCTCTCATCATTGATGGTTTTTTTCTCTCTCTCTCTCTCTCCTTTCCTCTCTCTGAAATCAATAAAGATATATTTAAAACAAACAAAAACAACAAGTGTTGCGCTCCAGCATGGGCTGGGCAGATCCTCTATCCAGACAGGCATTCCCTCTGGACTGTTCCCTCATCTGTCTGCTTGTGCTGTTGCTGCTTCCTATAATGCTGTTTCCCCTTGTTATCTGAAACCTGCACGTCCTTGAAGATGCAGCTCCTATTTCTGGAGTGCTGGGCACAGGGACTTGGGCTAAGCCCTTCAATGCACTCCTCTAAACTCCTCTTATTCCCAAGCCTGTGCTAGAACTGCGTGATGTGACCAGGCTGGGTGATGGTTCTCAGCTTTCTAGAACCTAAGCCCTTTACAGTGCCCAGCACAAAGCACTGAGGAGCTGGGGTTCTATTGTTGAACTCCAACCTTGCCAAGATGTGTGTGGGGTGAGGATGGGGAAGGGAGCACTGAGTTTGACATGATCTTGGCATTTGCAGGGCTGAACCCCTACCCTGGCATCCTGGTAAACAGCAAGTTCTACAAACTGGTGAAGGATGGATACCAAATGGCTCAGCCTGCATTCGCTCCAAAGAACATGTAAGGGAAGGACCCCGGGGAGGGGGGGGAGGGGAGTGGGGAGGACATCTGACTTTAGTTTAAGGGCATGGAAAGGTGTGTGACCCAGCTTTTCCAGTCCAGTGTTCCAGGTCCAGGCTTCATCTCCCCACAATGGACTAAAGAACAAGCCCCTGTTAAGTTCAGGGTTACCTCTGGTTTCCCAGGCAGCATGGGAGATGTTCTCAAAGGCGGTTCTTAACTGGGCCGGTCCTAACACAGATGACAGATTTTTAACTCAGATGGTTATGACCTCAAGGAAGGCTCCTCTCATCTCTTCTCTGTCCTGGTGATCTGTGGTGCTACCAGACACTACAGCCTGACACCTCACCACAGCCAGCCCCCATAAGCGAGCTGCTCACTGGCTCCCTGCCTTCATCACAGCCTTTCCACAAATTCACCCACTGCCTCTTTCTCCAGGACCTCTCAACACAACCTCCCTGTCTCACCACCAGGGTAAATCCACCCAACCTGGCTAACCTGCCCCTCAGCCCACTCTCCTCTTTAGTCTCTTGCTACACCCAATGAACTGCTCATTCTCTCAGCCCACCTCACAAATCTACCTGCTGACCACAGAGTAGCCCCCTCTTGTTTTAGGAGCTTGAGCAAAACAGCATCTCTGAGCTTCTCCCCACAACTGTCAAAATGGGCATGATGAAGATACCTTTCTCCAAGGGCTACTGGGAAGATTAAGATAACAAATGCCAAGGGCTTAGCGCAGGTCTCATGCTCTCACTTTGACTAGGTTTTGGGCCCTCTTACTGGGCAAGACTCTGTAGGGGATGTGCATGTGTAATGATCCCCAGACCCACAGGCAGCCTCTGCTCTGTCTCAGATACAGCATCATGCAGGCATGTTGGTCCTTGGAACCCACCCACAGACCCACCTTCCAGCAGATCTGCTTCCTCCTTCAGGAGCAGGTCCAAGAGGACAGCGGAGAGCAGGTGAGTGACGCCAGGCTCAGAATGGGGGTTGGCTAGAGCAGGCCAGGCTGAGTCTCAACATCTTCTGGCCTTTCCTTCCCTCAGGGCTACACTAATCTGCCAAGCAGCAGCAGCAGTGATGGTGGTGGCGGCAGCAGTGAGCAAGAGGAGAGCTCGAGCGAGCAGCTGGCCTGCTGTGAGGAGGGGGACGTTGCCCAGCCCCTGCTGCAGCCTAACAACTACCAGTTCTGCTGAGATGACGACAGGGGAGCACTGCCTGTCCCCTCCTCCGAGCTTCAACTCCTCTGTGGATAGGGTGCTACGAGAACATAGACTCTGCCCCTGGTCATTTCACTCAGCCCAGCCCAGATCTGAAACTCAGGAGTGTGGGATCCATGAAATATCTGAGCGCACCACAACTCCAGGGCCTGGGTCATCACTGCCAGTCAGGGGCTGGGGCTGAGCCCCTCCCCTCCCATTGTTCTCAACACTGTGGCTACATGCTCACTATGCCAACTGGGAGAATCCCCAGCTCACCCTCTTAACCTTGTTCCCATTTCTAGGAACCCCTTCCCTCCCTGTCACCCGTCTCAATGGAAATGGACTGGTTTTGCACCTATGAAGTCCCCAGTAGCTGTCCCAACACTGAGAAAACAATGCTCCTGGGGCCCCCTCTCTAACCAAGTGGAGCAGCAAGAGCAAACAGATGCTCAGAAGCTGTGCTAGGTTCAGACCCCTCGGAGCAGAGTGGCTCCTTTGTAGGAATCTAACTGTACCTCCTAGTGTCTGCCCTCTGGTCTTCTCCCCACAACCCCATCCCACCCTGAATCTGGTACTGCTGTAATGAGCCAGGTGGCAGCTAAAGTTTGGGGTGTTCTGCCCAGTCCCCTGCCCCGTCCTCCTGAGCTGGAAGGCAGGGACCCGTGTGGCTGGCCACACCAAGCAAGCAGCACGCATTTCCCCAAGTTGACTCATCATAACTAACAGTCACGCTATGGGATGCCGCCGTCAGCATTAAACTAACAGCATTAACACAGCTGGTCTCTGGTTCTTTGCATCTCATGAAGGACTACAGACTCCTTGGAACCTCCTACCATCCCTCCTTCATGGCAAGTGACCAACTCAGCACCTCCAGAGCTCAACCACATTGTGCCCCACACAATGAGCATGCAATTGACTCTTACTTCACCAAAACCAGATAATTTAATAAACTTTATCCTTGCTGGGGAAAGAGGGAGGAAAAAAAGCCACCTACTCTACTCTTCTGAATAAGTTAAATAACACATGGCCAATTCCTATGCCCTAAGCAAACCTTGGGCACTTGAGCCAGTCCCGCTGTTCCTTATAGCCCAGTCTGCTTCCCCTTCACAGAAGGGAGTTTTTCCTACTGCTGCCAGGTTATGTCATGCCATGGGCCACATCCCCTCTGTGGCAAGGGCCCAGGGCCCAGAAAGGATATAGGGTGCAGCAGCAGTGGCCAGGAAAAGGAGGAAGGGGATCCTCTTCCTCAAAGCTCGGGCAGACAGGACAAACCTGGAAGAGTCGTGGCTGTTTTTCCCTTTCCCCAGACCTGGGTGTAGGAAAAGCAGGAGGGAAGTGCGTGCGTCCTCCTCTGGGAGAGCCCAAAGGGGCCCCTAGAGCTAATGAGGCCCCAAGGCCCTGAGTCAAAGGCAACAGGCTAAGGAGCTCGTGTGGCTGTGGGGCAGGAAACAGCGTCCCCAGGGGCCCAAAAGGCTACCTCAGCAGCCTGCCCACTTAGTGCCACACTCCGCCTTAGCCCACCCCAGGACCTCCGCCACCGGCTATCAGTCTTCCCTCAGCCTCCCTTCTTTGTTGAATATACTATGTCCTCCAAGTGCTTTCTCAGGGCTGGTAAGGAATGTACTGGTACTTCTCCCAACCCCCTGAAGGTTGAGAACCAAGAACCCCAGGCCCCACCGTGCTCAGAAAATGGGAGCTCTTTGGTCAGTGCCAGTATCAGAGGCCCTCTCCACAGGTGAACACTCCCGCAGGTCCCCTGGATGGCTCTGCCTTGGTAAGGGCCTCACTATGGCTTGAGAGAGATGGTGCGGTCCCTGTACAAAAGCCTGGCTTATTCTGCTGCCGCGGCCACCTCCTCTTCCTCACCCTCCTCCTCTGTCTCCGTCTTGATCTGAGCAACCCCAAGGCGGTAAAGGGTGTCACGGATGACCACCTCGCCAGGCTGGCAGCTCTGCACAATGTCGTGGATCTGCCGGTTGACAATCTCGCGGCTGGTGAGGAAGTCCATGAGGCGGTTGTAGAGGTAATAGTGGGTGGCATTGTCAAAGGCAATGGGCCGCTGGCGGACACTGTTTGGTTTGCTGTCTGTGATAGAGGCCAGGATGGTTGCGTAGGGGGCCAACTCAGGACACAGGGCCAAAGAGTGGTGCCCAGCACTGGAGTCACCAGGACTGGGCTGTGTGTCTGCATGGACTATGCGCCGTGTAGCAGTCTTGGTGACTGGGTGCTGGACAGAGTGCTCGGCCTCTGTCATATCCACAGTATAATGCTGATCCAAGAGTTCTGGGCAGGACACACTCTAGAAAAGAGGTAAGAAGTTACTCTGACATGAGGGAATGACAGGTGGTACCTGTGTGGTGGGTGAGAGTGAAGGCTGTGGGGTCATCAGCTCTGTTTAAATCCTCATGTCAACACATATCATCTCTCTTGGGGCAAGTCACCCCTCTTCTCCCTTTCTGTGCCTCGGTTTCCTCATGTGAGAACAGGGACAGTAACCAGAGCACATGTTGGATTACCTGAGCTGCCACTGTTTATTGCCATGCCTGGTCAACTGAGGCAGGGCTACAAGGTGACAGAAAGGGAGTGCTCCCACTGAGGGTCAGGTGTCTCCTGCAGTGCTCAGCACAAACTCACAGAGCCAGTGAGCCCCAGGGAATAAGGAAAAGGTGAGTGGTGATAATGATGTCCCCTTTCTCCTATTACCATCCTAATATTTCTTCCTGCACAAGGTTCAGCTGGCCTTGGAGGGCACATGCCTCTGGCAAGAACCACTGCTTGGTACAATGTACCAAGACAGAGAAAAGGGCTCTGCCACTAACATGCTGAGTGACACTGGACAAGTCTATTTCCCCCTTTGGGCTTTACTTTCTCCTTTTAATAAAAGGAGAGGGTTGGATAAGGTCAGTGTTTTCTAAGCTGCTGTGCCTCCAGGCCATAACAGACATGCCATGGGGCATATTCACGGTTTAATCCAAGACAGGGCTGGTTGGGGCCTTTAGTATGTCAGTGTTCATGATGAATCTCAAAGGTGGCAATTTTCTAGGTTTATCAGGAAGGCAACAGTGACCCCCAAGATAACTGCGTTTGGGACACCCTGGGCACCCTAAGTGACATGCTGTGGCTGCACACACACACGGGCTGGTCAGTAAAATCTGTGGAGTAAATGTTGGTTCCAGAGCATCAAAACAAAATACTGATGGAGAAAGGATACTAGAGATAAGGCCTTCCAAGAGAACCAGGGGGTGAGAAATGGCTGGCCCACAGAACTTATTCTGGGTCCTCAGAAGAAAACTCACCACAGGCGGCTCTGTGGGGCTAGAGAAACAGCCCTGGTTCCTCCCCCACATCTGGCTGGTCAGCTCTGGGTAGCAGAGGTCAGCACACAGGGCAACTGGTGTGGCCATGTCTACCACATAGACAGGTGGCCAATGGCGGGAAGAAGCAAGCAGATCCACATGGTCACGGGCACTCTCACCCCGCACAAGATACTTGGAGCCGCAGATCACCTAGGGGTAGAGGTGGAGGGCACGGCATAGGATTAAAAAGCTGATTTGCAGACAGACTGAGTTAAGTCCTCAATGGCTTCTTCCCAGGAAGATGAACAATCAGGTTTCATGACTGAAGCAAAAGCGATCCTGCCAGAGCCCATAACATTCTGCTTCTGTCTTCCTTCTGTCCCTAAATGAAGTCACAGGCTCATCCTTGACCTCTTGAGAGAAGAGTTGGGAACATCTAGTCCTCAACTGAGGCTAAAAATTCCCAGGTCATCTGCCCCACCATACCCCCACATCACCCTACGCATTTACCACCATCTAGCCCAGTGGTTCCCTATCCTGGATGCACAGCACTGGCAGCTAAGAGCTGGTTAAAAATGGAGGTTCCTGGGCCTTACCTGAAACCTAAGGCATCTTTATTCTAAGCAGCTCCCCACCAGACCCTGATTGCAGGCTAGCAAACACCTCCATTAACATGGCCCCCAAACGCCACTCCACCGCCAGGCAGCTGTGTGTACACTGGAGAATTCTGCCTCTGATTCTACTTTCATACCCACCAGGCCTAGCTAGCTGTCGCCTCTAAGTGATATGGCTCTCCCATCACAGCACTGAGATCTCTAGCTCTCACATTTGTCCCTGTTTGCCAAGTGCTTGTCTTGAGACAGTCCCAGTTCACATGAATACAATCCTTTGAGCAGGCTCTGATCTGCCTGGGTGGAGGCATCCAGGGTCTTACTCAGACACAGCTTTTGTTAAAGGAGTTGACAACCTAATTATCTTTTGACAGCCAGGTCACCCTGTCCACTCACACATCTCAGTGAACTGAAGCTCTGCTAGCCCCCCCAGCCCATTCAGTGCTTGTTCATGGGGTGTTAAACCCTAGTGTCTTCCTGGGCCCACTGTGTCACATAGCACGACCTTTCCAGAGTGATCCCGGCGCCTACCCTGCCCACACCCTCTAAAGACAGAACAATCTCCCTAACACCAAAATCAGGCCATGTCCATCCCATTTCCCATTCAAAACCATCCAGTGGGTCCTTCATTGCTCTCAGAAAAAAATCCAAACTGTTACTCTGGCCTATAAAGTCTTACATGATCTGGCCCCTGGTGACTCCTCTACTCCCCCTTCTCTTGGCTCACTACGCTTCCCCAGTGAGGGCATAGTGGCCGCTCTTCCCTCTGCTGGAACCCCTAGTTCATCAATGGGGTTCTCAGCTTTCTCTGGCTGCCCCATGACAGCAGGTCCCTAACTGTCCCTCATGGTAACTTCCTATCTCAGGCACTTGTACCACAAGCTGTGGTGACTTTGTCTCTCCACTAAAATGAGGTCAACTAGGAAGGAAAGACATGGTTGCTCACCTTTGTACCCTCAAAAGCTAATGTGGGGGCCAGCACATGGTAGGGTGCTTAATACTCACTGATGACAACCTGGGCTCCCCACCTGACACATGTGGAGCTACTCCACAGGCTGCCGAGTGAGCTAGGTAACACCCTGCCAAGGATGAGCTGGCTCAATCACGCTGCAGGCAATGAATCACAAGCAAATTCACTTCAGCCGCTCCTTGTTAGCCTCTTACCTGATGGGGGCACACCTTGTAGATTTTACCCCCTGTGAGATGAGGTGAAGGCTGTCTAGCTCTGGCTCCATTCTGTACAGATTCATAGAGGGCCAACAAGGAGAAGCAGAGCTGTTCCTAGAGCAAGTTAAGATTAAAAACACAGCAGTAAATGCTAAAGGACCAGGCCTGTGCATAGCACCAAATGATCATTTCAATACCTAAAGCCATAGAATAAACCGTCAAGCCTGGAGTGGGCCTTGGAGCCCCACCAGCCCAACGTCCTCTAGGTACAGATGGAGGTCCAGAGGCCGAGGCCCTGAAAGATTCAGGTCAGACAGAGCCAGCCCGACTGACCAAGCTGCAACTTTGTCCAGGCCACTCTGAGGCCGGTGTTCCTCCTACTTTTTACAGGGCAGGGAAAGTCTCAAAGAGAAGCTAATATCTGAGTCTGAACTGAAGGAAACATAAAATGTTCAACAGCTTTATGAGTATGAAGAAAAGTAAATAATGTATGAATAAACTCCTACACACGCTCTCTGAACTGTCATAGCACTCACTTTCTAGGAGCCTGGACAGGTGACACCCAGACACTGTGCAAAGTGCCTTCCTGACAACAATCTTGTGATGTGGGTATTTCAGTTCTCTGCACTTGGCAAAATGAGGAAAATGAGGCTCAGGAATGTAAGGTGCTCATCCAAGGTCACACACAACAAGCAGGAGACCAGGATTCCCAGCCCCTGATTCTGAACCCACTACCTTCAATGGAGGAATTGACTGGAGAGAAAGGCCTCACGTGCACATCACAATCTGGCTATCTCCCAGGCCTCCCTGACTGCCAGCATCCTTTGTCCAACACAGGTGCCCAGTCACAGGTGTTTAGATTCCTGCCCAGAAATGGACCACCAGCCTGCTCCCAACAACTCTGTCTCTACTACTACCCCTGACACTCACCTTGGAGTCTTCTGACCCAAAAGGGATGCCACATTGCCTCAGCAGATGCTGCAGCTCCTCTTCAGTGTAGGAGCTCATCTCCTCCAGCTTGCAGGTACCCTCCTGGAGCAGCCTCACCAAGGCACTGCCATTGCCTGCAAGAGATGACGGTGCTGAGGGGAGGACACTGCCTCAGCCAGAGGTCACGAGTAGTACCTGATGCGTGAGGATGAGAACAAAGGGGCAGGGGCAAGGCCTAAGTGCAGCAAGGGGTGGAAGCAGTCTGCCCTGAGCACTGCCCTGGGCACTGGGAGAGGTGGACTCAAGGCAGGTCTTATGACTTCTGCAGAGATCTAAAGCTACTCACAACTGGCTTTATGCCCTCGAACATCTAAGGGATACATCCAGCAGAGTGCCCTCGCAAAGAACTCCCAAATGGGTCAGCTTTTAACCTTTGAAGGTTTTTCAAAACCAAGATCTCAGATGCTTACCACAACTACAGCAACGAGAAGCAGCAACTCCCATTTTAAAATGCTCTCTATACACTATGTTCCTGAACCTGCCTAATCAACAGAAATATGTGGGGGCCTTAAAAAAATTCCTGGGCCCTGAAGCAGCAAACAAGAGGTGGGCCCCAATATCTAATGTTAGGAAGCACTGTTTGAGAACCAGTGGATCACAACATATTAAATACTTAGAAAAATCAATTCAGTAGGTCATATCCAGAATTTTAAAAATGAAATAAAATAGAAAATAACATATACTGCATTTGGTAAGGAAAAATACTGTTTTATGAAAGTTTTGCTTCATTTACAGATAAACACACATGTACATACTTATATGAGTATCATGCTGGGTCATGATGCAGAACCTATTTCTTATTGTGAGTTGCAGTATATATAAAAAAAAAAAAAAAGGTAGAAGACTATCACTCTAATTAGATCACTCCAACTTCCTAACAGCCCAGGAGGTGGGTAACTGTATCATGCTTCTTTGTGACTGAAGCAACAGAGACTCAGGGCAATGAAGGGAATTGGTGGAGGTCACGTGGCTACTAATACTAAGTGGCATAGCTGGGACTCAAACTCATATTGTCAGAAACCTATGCTCTCAACAGCTAGTCCAGGACATCTCAATGTATATCCACAAGGTATTTGCAAAACTATCTAGAAGACTACTTAGAAGGCAGACTCCCTGGCCTCCACCTACACTTATCAATGAAAATCTTTGGAGTGGAGCCTTATCATCAGCATTTCTCAGAGGACTTCCACTGTTCAGTGCAGTGCATCCCCGAAGGCTGACAGTGGACTTTGTAGGTCAGTCCTATACAATGTGGCTGGCAGCTCTTCAAAACTCCACAACATGATTTAATCTCTAGGGGATTCTGTCACAGGTTGTCCTATCTTTCCAGAAGGAGCCCTTCAGGTGGGCCTGGCCCCCGCTCTGCATTTGTGCATCTTGCCATGGGCAATGTTCTAGACTCTTGACTGGGCCCTTCCCTGACCCCAGTCAGCCACCAGGTGGCCTTACCAGGTACGGGCTGTACATCCAGGTTTTTGTCTTTCTCAGTGTTGACGACCACAGCTCCTCTCATGAGTGGTGGGAAGAAGGGGGCAATAACAGAGGCATCAAACTTGGTGATAGGGATGCTGGCAGGGAAGGCCACCTGCTCAATCACCTCTGTCTCCATCGTGGCCCAAAAGTCCTCCACGTTTACCTCACTAGGGCCCAAGAACTCAGGCCAGGTGAACTAAAAGGTCAGGATAAAAAAGGTCAAGCTGTAGGAGCCACAGAATATTAGCAACACAATAGCCTACCTTCTTGATACACTCGGGGCAACCAAGGCTGGGGAGAGGGGGTTATGACAGCCATGCACTGCTGGGATGCCCCCAAATCTGACATCTCAGTACCTGTCTTTTGGCCATATACAAGCCTGAGGTGTCTGAGACTACTGGAACAAGGGCAGAAAGGCTGTGAACAAAGGTTTATTTCCAAAGCCCATGCCCTTAATCCCTATACTTGCTGGCAGGAATCATCACCCACTTCCAAGGCCCTGTTGATCCCTGACCTCCTCCAGAAAGGCCTCCCAGACTTTGCCAGCACACAGCTATCTCCTCTACCTCACGCAGCATTTACTTATCTATTGTAGGCACCTAGTAGTTGTGCGATTCAATTTTTCTTCTGGTATCTCCCTTATATGGTCTGCAAAGTGTGGCCTGATCCTATTACCTAGAGCAGAGTCATTTGTGTTACTTAGCAATGCTAACGCCAGGGCGCATGTCAATCAGTATGAACTAAATCTCTAAGTTTGTATTTTAAAACAATTTCCCATGTGAGCAGTTCTGAAAGTGTGGCCCCTGGGCCAACAACATGAGCATCAATCACCTGGGAACTTGTTAGAAATGCAAATTCTCAGCCCCACTCCAGAACTACTGAATCAGAAACCCTGTGGGTGGGGCCAAGCAAGCCCTCCACACAAAATTTTGACAGCCACTGCCCAATATAATGCCTATGCCCACCAAGTCTGAGGACCACTGCTCTATGCAAGACATCTATCTCCCCATCTTACTCCTATTCCTTCCCCATCTCATGGGGCACAAGCGCATGCTGCAAGTAAATGGTAGTCTCCCACCACAATTTCACAAGGTTCTGAGCACACCCTCTCCACAATGAACAGGGGACAGAAAATGCCAAATGAGTATACGGTCTGTGCAACTAACATGGCTGTCATTAGTCCACAGGGTCCTCCTCTATACAGTCCCTGAGGACAGGGCCAACCCGACAGTCTCTTCATAGAAAACTACATATTTAAATTTTGTTCAATAACTTTCTGTTTTATTTCAGACTTCAGGATACCCTACACTCCCTTCTCCCCACACACATACCACTCTACATGCACAAAAGGGAGAAAATAAAGCAAGCCCTGGTCTCAAGAAAGAAATCCCAATGCCACAGAAAGGGAGACACATGCATCTTGAGAATGAAGGGAATGCACTGGCAGGACTAAGAGATGTGAACTTTGTGGGGAGGGGGGCTTCTGTCTATTCTGGAAACCAAAGTCTCTGCAGCTCAGTGTGTTTAGAAAACCAAAGCTCAGAGACCCAGGAGGTCTGGGTGAGCATGGCAGTGTTTATGAGCTCAGACTCTGAAGTCAGACAACTAGACCAAGGTCAAGGTCTAGCTCCACCCTGCCTGGCTAAATGAGCATGGACAAGGTCACCTGGGCTTCAGTCCCTTCATCTACACAAATCTCACAGTGTTGGGGCGAGAAGCCAGTCATATAGCAAAGCACTGAGCACAGAGTAAGAACTTGGTATATGTACTAAAATGCTCAATAAATCGTAGCTGCATTACTGTTAATATTACTATTAGGCAAGCAGCTTTGGATGAGTCTAGAATAGCCTCTTGGTGAGACCAGACACAAAAGCAAAATTTTGCAGTTCATTTTATCTACAAGGAACACTTGGAAAGTGCCAGGATTCAGCATGCTTGTTTTCCATATTTCTTGTTATATACTACCATTTTTCAAATATAAATATTTGATCAATATATGTACTTTTTATTAATTGGGAAGAAAAAGAGACTACGTATTAAATCCTAAATATGTTCAGCTGGCAAGACTAAAGCTTTTCTCCAAAGGTCCCACACCTCCCCTGGTGGTGAACAGGTGGAGATACAGGCCTGGTGCCTTAAGAGTTACTCTCCGTTCCAGTCTGCTGGTCACAGAATCGTACCCCAGTGAGACTATGTGCAGAATCAGACTTACGGCACATGATCGTGGGAAACAGCTAACCAACCTATGGGGTTTTCTAACCCCTGTACCACATTAAAAAAGATTCCCTATTATTCCCAGTTTGCTAAGAGATTTATCATAAATAGGTGTTAAATAATGAAAGCCTCTTATATCTAATGAAATGACCATATGGCTTGCCCGGCTGGGCGTAGCTCAGAGGTTGAGCATCGACCTAGGATCCAGGAGATCATGGTTTGATTCTGGGTCAGGGCACATGCCCGGGTTGTGGGCTCGATCCCATCGGGGGCGTGCAGGAGGCAGCTGATCAATAACGACTCTCTCATCATTGATGTTTCTATCTCTCCCTCCCTCTCCCTTCCTTTCTCTGAAATCAATAAAGATATATTAAAAAAAAAAAAAAAAAAAAAAGACCATATGACTTTTCTCCTTTAATCTGTTAGGTAGTGAATTACATTAGTGTACTTTCTCACAATGAAGCAATCTTGCTTTCCTGAGATAAAGTTAGTTACAATGGATTACTTTATTCATTGTTAGAGTTGACTTGCTATTATCTTAGGCAGGACTTCAACATCTGTATTCATGAGTATAATCAGCCTCATTTTTTTCTATTATATTAAACATCTGGTTTTGTTTTCAAGGTTATGTGACCTTATACAATGAGATGCATATGTGCTATTCTTCTATGACTGGAATCATGTGTTTCTTGGATATTTGTTAGAATCAATATATAAAGCTATATGAGTTTGGTGTTATCGTGTGAACATTTTTTAGTTAAGAACCTAAATCAGATCACGTCCTCAAAACCCTTCAGAGATTCTGTTTTCCTCAGTGTTTATCCTTAAAATGGCCCATGAGACCCCATGTAGAGTCTGGCTCCTGAACCTTACATATCCTACCACTCTCTCCATGACTCATATGTTCCAGCCACACTGGCCTCCTTGCTGTTCCTCAACCATGTCTAGCAAATCCACCTTAGACCCTGTTCTTGCTGCTCCCTCTGCCTGGAAATGTTCCTGCCCCAGAGAAGAACATGGGCTTCAATTTCTATTCAAACGCCCACTATCAGAGAGGCCATCCCTAACTACCCTCTATAAAATAGGAATTCCCCTTTCCACCATACCCTGCTTCACGGTTACTACGTTTCTTGTAATTTATTACATATAATAATATATAATATATATAATTCATGTTTGTTTCCTATTTCCCCAAACCAGAAGGCAAGCACCACAAGCACAGAAACTTTGTGGGTTGTTTTTTTAACTGTCATTTCCCAAGTGTCTAAAAAGTATACCTAGTTCATGTTTAATAAATTTGTTGAATGAATAACAAATGCCTCTATTTCCATCTGACCTTCCTTAGATGAAAACTTGGGCAGTGGCAGGAAAAGGCCATTCTTCTCACACAGGACAGGACTGAGGCCATCTGCCCCTGGGGACATCATGCAGGAAGGTGACAGCAAAGTGTGAGAACAGTTCTAAAGGTTACCCATGGTGACTGAGAGGCACTTACCTCCACACTCTTCAGTGCCAGCACGTTTTCTTCACTCCTCTGGGCCATTTCCACCTTGGGGGCCACACCACAGATGCCACAGATCATGTCATTGTAGTCTCGGACAGTGAGGCACTCAAAAGCCCAATAGCCATTGCACAGCAGCTCTTGCAGCTGGCTCAACTCCTCTGAGGTGAGTGTCTTCTCTGGAAGAAGAACAAGAGCTCTGAGGAGGTCAGAGAAAAAGACCCCGAGGCCACTGGGGATGAGCTAATGGCTGGCAAGAATAGCAACTGTGCAAGATAGCTTCTCTCCTGAGAACACCCAAGAGTATTAACCATTCCGAGGATCAAGCACCCTGACCTTCAAGTGCTCAGGTGGCAACCCAGAGGATAATTCCAATCAGTTACATCTGCCTGTACTAAGTACCTACTAGGTACTAGATGCTGTGCCAAGAACTTCAAATTATCTCATTTAACTCATATCTTTATGAATAAGGAACTATTATTTTCCTCACTTTGTAACTGGAGAAACTGAGGCACAGAGAATAACTTGCTCAAAATCACATTGCCACTAAGCGGCAGAGCCAAGACAGGCCTTTCTGGCTCTAGAACCTCTGCTCTAATCCATCTGACCTCACAGCAGGAGGATTGGAGTCTGTAATAATGGGATGGGAAGAGCACAAACAGAAATAAGTAAGGAGAGCAAGGGAAAAATAATTTCTAATAGTAAGGAGGGTGGTCCTCTCAGCATGAGCCCTGGGATTGGTAGCATATCTCCAGAAGCTGTGTATTCAAGATGAGTCTGATTAACATGCAGTGAGATCAAATGTACCTATCACCAAAAGACGAGCTTCTAAAAGTCAGTTTAACCTCATGCTGAGGGTCCCTGGATGTACAGACAAACTCACGCTTTCCAAAGTTAGTTTGGCATTTGTAAAATTCAAGAGGAAAAGTGTGTTAGGAGGCCAAGATTGTCTCCTTTTCAAAATATCAAGCTCTACTCCAAGAGGACTCTTTCAACCAAAGCCCATCACTGAAAATTCCCAGGGAGCTTACGCCTAATCTTGGGAAAGGGAGGGAGCCAACCTTTACCTGTCTGCTCCTGCACCGACTTCAGAACAGCACTGACAGACACTCTGGGGTCCTCTCCCAGCTTGATCTGGTTTCGGATTGCAAAAAGCAAGTCTAGGCTCACTAGCAGCCTGTTTCCCACATTAAAGAGACCTGCAGGTTAAGAAGAGGCAACAGGGAAATTCATTACAATATCATACACAATGGTAAAAATTGGGAACAAACTAAATGCCCAATAAGGGAACAATTAAATAAATTAGGGTGCATTCATAAAATAGCAAACTATGCAACATTACAAAGAATAAGGTAGACCTAAATGATCTGATGTGAAGTTGTCCCTAATACATTATTAAATGAAAAAAGCAAGTAATAAAATACGCATAGAACTTTTTAAGAGAAAAAAAGAAACCTCTCCCAACCACCCAGCTCAGGCCTCAGGACCTCTCACAGCTGCGCAGCAGGGAAAGAGCAGGAGTATTCTTTAGCCCAGGGATGTGTAGGGAATGTGACAAAGGCTATAAAATCACCCCTCTACGACCCTTGGGATAAAAGACTCAGTGGAATTTAAATCAGCCAATTTGAGACAAATAAAAGAGGGTGATTTTACATTTGCACAATACATAACACACAAATTTACACAAAAACCAATTATGGAATAAGTGTTCCCATTAAAAAAGGGTACAAATGAATGGGGAAGGCCTTTCTAAGCATGATACACTTTGAAGCCATAAAGGAGAGGACCAAAGCAATGATTACATAAAAATTAAAACAAAAAAATTAAAAAACCCTTTGTGTCAAAAAAAAATCACAAATTTAAAGGACAACTGATAAACTGAGGAAGAACTCTGTCAACAAGATAGCCCCCCAAAAAGAATGGAAATACATGAGAAATTCATGGAGAAAAAAAACACACAAAAGATATACAATCTTCTTAGAAATCAAAGAAATATAAAAAATTAAGAAATGATATATCAGCTTTTACCTACCAAATTGATAAACTTTAAAAACTAATAATACTAATCTACAAAAAATTCCTACAAAAATAATTTGGTATAAATCTAACAAAATATGTGTGGGACCTATATGCTGAAAAGTATAAAACATCAATGAAAGAAATAAAAGAAAGCCTAATAAAATGGAGAGACAGACCATGTTTATAAATGGGAACAGCTTAGTATTTTTTAAGCATGTCAAACTTCCCCAGATTGATCTACAGATTCAATACAATCCCAATTAAAATTCCAGCAAGACTCTGTAGACACTGACAAACTGATTCTTAAATTTACCTTGAAACGCAAAGGAACTAATATAGCCAAAATAATTCAGGCAAGTGCAAGGTTGGAAGGCTCATGCTACCTAATTATAAGACTTGCTTAAAGCTACAGTGAGCAAGACAGTGTGAAAGTGACAAAAGAATAAACATAAACGGAACAGAAGAGAATGCAGAAAGACCCAGACATGTATGATGAATTTATTTCAACCAAGAAATGAAGGTAACTCATTGAAGAAAGGACTGCTTTTCAACAAATGGTGGTATAATTGAAGGTCCGCAGGCCAAAACAAAAAATGAACTCCATCTGAGCTTCACACTTTATACAAAAATCAATTCACAGACCTAATTGTAAGCCATAAAATTATAAAACTTTTAGAAGAAAACATAAGAAAATTATGACTCTCACCCAGGTAAAGAAATCTGAGATGGAACATCAAAAGCTTTTCCCAGCCCTGGCCAAGTGGCTCAGTTGGTTGGAGCACACAGTCCTGTACACCAAAAGTTTGCGGGTTTGATACCCAGTCAGGGCACATACCTAGGTTTTGGGTTTGATCTCTCTTCCTCTCTCTCTAAAAATCAATGAATACATATCCTCAGGTTAGGATTTAAAAAAAAAAGCATATCCATAAAAGAAAAAATTGATGAACTAAAAAAAATTTATTTTGATGAATTGGTCTTTATCATAATTAAAAATTTTTGCTCTGTGAAAGATTCTGTTAAGAGAATGACAAGACAAGCCATAGGCCCTAAGAAAATATCTGCAAATCACTTATCTGATAAAGGACTTGTATCTAGAATATACAAAGAACTCTCAAAACTAAAGAGTAAGAAAATGAACCACCTAGTTCAATGGGCTAAAGTTCAGACACTTCACCAAAGAATACATACAGATGGCAAGAAAATATGTTCAACATCATTATTCATCAAAGAAATAAAAATTAAAACCACAATGAAATACCACTTACATACCTATTAGAATGGCTAAAATAAAATAAAATGAAATAGACAATACCAAGTGCTGACAAGTGGGGCAAACCAGAACTCTCAGCCATTGTTGGAGAGAATGCCAAATGGTATACATAGATATTTAGGTAAACTGTCTGGCAAGTTCTTAAACTGGTTAACAATCCAAATGTCTTTCAACTTCAATGAGTGAATAAACAAATTGTGATACTTTATAAAATGCAAAACTACTCAACAATAAAAAGAAACAAATTATTGATACATTCAAAAATGAGTGATTTTGTAAGGCATTATGCTTAGAAACAAGACTCGAAACACTAGCTACTATGATTGGATTTATGACATTCTGGAAAAATAAAACTACATAGAGATGACCATATCAAATGGTTGCTGGGGTGAGGGGTAAAGGATGGGCTTGATCACAAAAACACAGTACAAGACAACGATTTGGGATGAGGAAACTATTCTACATATTGATGTGGTGGCAGTTACACAACTCAGTGCATTTGTCAGAACTCATATCTATACAACAACAAAGTAAATTTTTTACTGTGTGTAAATTTAAAAATCAAGTTAAAATTAAAAAAATATATACATATATATAATCCTAAGGTACTACTAGCCTAGACAGGCTGCATTCCATTAACTGTTGGCAAGAGTATAAAATAGTATAAACTTAATCTGGCAATGCAAGACACTGAAAACATGAATTCAAAATAAGGCACCATAAGGTTCTGAAGACAGAATAAAATAACATATACTTTTTAATCTTCAGCACCCAATTCTACATATGAAACTCAAGATTCAAATTCTCACAATGGTTGGCACGTGATAAATATTCAATAAATGTTTGATGTTGATGAATGGAGGGGAAATGGGTGAACACACAGCAATTCCACTTTTGAGCATTTACCCAAAGGAAAAAATTAAGGCTGTAACAAAGATTTAATTATAAAGAGTCCTCTAAAATGGAGTGCTACTTCTTAAAAATGGTCATGTATTTCTCCACTTGCTGGCATAGGAAGATGCCCATGATATACTGCTAAATTTTAAAAAGCACATTCCAAAACAACATCCAGCAAAAACCCATTTTTGTTGAAATTAAAGCTATAAACCTATAAATCCCTCCACACTTTCTTATATTCTGCAGTGATAAATAGCACACCTGGGATTAGAGGGCACAATGTTGTGTTTATCTCATAGCAGGATTACTAATGATTTTCAGTTTCCTCTTTCTACTTGTCAGCATTTTCCAGTTTTTCTATAATCAAAATCTATTATTTTAAAAGTAACTTTGTTTAAAGATCCAGGATGATCCTAACACTTGACAGGTACATGTATACTGGGGCTGAGACATCCAGGAGGGAAAATCCCCTCTCCTTCAGAAGCCCCATCTGAGAGAAGGTCCAGTGCTCACAGGACCAGAGGTCTGACCCACAGAGGCTGTACTCAAGCCTGTTTTGGGGGCCCACTGAGGGAAGAAAGACTGGCACCCACCTGTATAGATGTCCATGAAGCTATGCAGTGCCAGACAATGGGGATTCAGACATATCTTCACCTGGGCAGTCACCACCTGTAGCCGGTTGGCTGTCAGCAGCCAGCACTCCTGGGGCCCAGCAAGGGAGCTAGTACCCAAAACATCACCAACAAAAACAGAAGGGATATCAACCTCTTAATAATTAATCAGCCTCCAGGGCTCAGTGATGAATGGCAAAATTCTCAAGACTTTAATGCAGTAGGAAAGTGAAGTGCGAGAGCTTGTGTCCCAAAGCTTTCTAGGTGGGTGTTCCATTTTGTGGGAATCTTGTCTGTAGAATCACACCCAAATTTAATATGCCTCTCAATTTGTTACCCAATTTAACCAATCCCACTGAACCCAAATGCAAGCATTATGCTGGGCAGTCCAGATGTAAACTAAATCCTAAACTGGTGACAGTAACTTTCAGGCATTTTCAATGGAAATAATGGATGATTACTAATTATTATTAATTAGAAATTGGAAAAGTAAAGGAAACCTAAGAAAAGCAGAGAATAACATCTTCAAAGGTTATAGTTTGAAAGCTGTTTGAAGAAAGCAGCAATATGGGTCAAGTGAGATGGGGCAGTTAGGGGCAGGAAATGCGAAAGGACTGCTTACTTTTGTCCCCCTTTGAATAATGGGCTGCTACAGAGAAGGCACTGCGTGGATGGAGACTCATAATAATTTGACCAAGAGGTTTGCTCGATGGTGACTGTCTCCTCACTCACGTTGGACAGAATGAGTCGAGAGCTGTTGAGTTCATTTATCAAGGCAAAGACCTCGGCCAGCTCGGATTCATTCTCAGGAATCTGTAGGACTTTGCGCAGCAGCTGCAGTGTGGACTGGCGCTGGATCTCCCTCTGGGCTGCACTCAGGGGCTCTGTGACACTTAGCCCATCTGGGAGTGGTGAGCTCGCCTCCTGGGAAGAGAGTGGATTGATCACCAAGCACCCAGAGCATGAAGAGCCAGCCTCAGGCTATATCATGAGAGACTGGAAGCAGCAGAGGGATGGGCCCATGACTGAGAGGTAGGAAACCTAGGCTCCTAACCAACTCAGCTAATAACTCACTTTGTGACTTATGGCAGGTACTTTCTCCCTCTGGCACTGTTTCTCTATCAATAAAAATGAAAAGACTATATACACCTCTTAGTAATGATTTCAAGTGTCAGCTCCCATTCACCAAGTAGGGGATCTAGAGGATAAAGACGTGGGCTTCAGTTCTGGATATGCCACTTAACAACTGCATGTGTGTGACCCAAAGCAATTTAATCTTTCTGAGCCTCAGTTTCCTCACCTATGAAATGGAGGAACAAAATACTGGTAATATCCTAGAGTAGCTGTACAAAGTAAACAAGATGTTAAGTAAAGCACTTAGCACAGTGCCTGGGATGCAATGAAAACCCTATGAATGGTAGTTTTGATATATAAACAAATAGCTATACTAATTAAAGTATTTATTTTTAATGCTTTATGGGTTCTAGGTACATGAGAACTTTATATACCAGTCAGAGGCTTCCAGGAACAAGGTTCTGAAATGCTCATTAAAAACAGGTCCTTGCCATAGCTGGTTTGGCTCAGTGGTTAGAGCGTCAGCCTGAAGACTGAAGGGTCTCAGGTTCAATTCCAGTCAAGGGCACGTACCTCAGTTGCAGGCTGGATCCCTGGCCCCGGTCAGGGCATGTGTGGGAGGCAAGCAATCGATGTGTCTCTCACATCAATGTGTTCGTTCTCTCTCTCTCTCTCTCTCTCTCTCTCTCCCCCCCTCCCTCCCTCCCTCTCTGAAAAGAACAATGGAAAAAAATATCCTCAGGTGAGGATTAAAAAAAAGGTCCTTCTCAGGCGGGTCCCTTTTCAATGAAGGTTCCTTATGCCAATACAGCCTGAATTACTCCCTTCTCCATGCTCCCACAGTCCATTCTTTTACTGTAGAATGCACTGTCTCACAGTTGGTAAGCAACTGTCCCCACTCTTCAGTGAGTGTAGGGTCCCTGCTAAATCCCAATACCAGAATGAGGCTGGGTACACAAAAGATGCTAATTCATAGTTGCTGGACATAGTATACATTGCTTTGTAGAAGTTATGTGCTTAATAAAAGAAGGAGCTTTCTGTTAACTCTACATCCTAGGTTAACTCTTATCTACAATAGTTTGGTTATTTATCTTTCTTCCCCACTAGACTGTAAGCTCCTCAAGGGAAGGGGCCATGTCCCACTCATCTCTGTATCTCCAAAAGCCTGATCCATAGTAAGCATTCAATATATGCTTGCCAAAAGAAAGAATGAATGAAGAGCTGAGTGACACTAGAATTGTGTTGCCCCGGGAGGTTGTGTGTTCCCTGTTATCACTATGTTGAACCATGGGCTGGGACAGAAGTTGGCATGAATACTGTCCTTTGGCTCTGAGCCACAGTTGAAAGATGGACAGGAATGAAGACCAATCCAACCCAAAGATGTTGCAATCTTAATTACAGCAGGACAAACTGCATAGGAAATGTATGGCCACCAGGGGGCTCCAAAGAGTAACACACCCAAAGGTCTCTGGGTTTCTGACCTNGAAAAAAACAATGGAAAAAAATATCCTCAGGTGAGGATTAAAAAAAAGGTCCTTCTCAGGCGGGTCCCTTTTCAATGAAGGTTCCTTATGCCAATACAGCCTGAATTACTCCCTTCTCCATGCTCCCACAGTCCATTCTTTTACTGTAGAATGCACTGTCTCACAGTTGGTAAGCAACTGTCCCCACTCTTCAGTGAGTGTAGGGTCCCTGCTAAATCCCAATACCAGAATGAGGCTGGGTACACAAAAGATGCTAATTCATAGTTGCTGGACATAGTATACATTGCTTTGTAGAAGTTATGTGCTTAATAAAAGAAGGAGCTTTCTGTTAACTCTACATCCTAGGTTAACTCTTATCTACAATAGTTTGGTTATTTATCTTTCTTCCCCACTAGACTGTAAGCTCCTCAAGGGAAGGGGCCATGTCCCACTCATCTCTGTATCTCCAAAAGCCTGATCCATAGTAAGCATTCAATATATGCTTGCCAAAAGAAAGAATGAATGAAGAGCTGAGTGACACTAGAATTGTGTTGCCCCGGGAGGTTGTGTGTTCCCTGTTATCACTATGTTGAACCATGGGCTGGGACAGAAGTTGGCATGAATACTGTCCTTTGGCTCTGAGCCACAGTTGAAAGATGGACAGGAATGAAGACCAATCCAACCCAAAGATGTTGCAATCTTAATTACAGCAGGACAAACTGCATAGGAAATGTATGGCCACCAGGGGGCTCCAAAGAGTAACACACCCAAAGGTCTCTGGGTTTCTGACCTGTGTTTGATTTTGTGGAAAACCATGGCATTTTATTTCTCCTAAAATTAAGGAGATTGGAGGGTAAGGGAACAGCTGAAGACGAGGGTTCTTGGGGTAGGCAGCTACCAGTTAGCCAAAGCAGAATAATATAAGAAAGAGTGGGATTTGAAATCAATTCTTGCCTCACCTGGAAAGTTAAGTGACCTCATCATCCAAGACCTAGAGACCAACACCCACTTCCATGCTGCAAACCAACAGCTATAGAAGGAGAAAGGAATGTTCAGAGCATCTACCTACACAGAATGCAATTTCATCCCATAGCCATTGATCAACACATTATTGTACTGTGTATGCAACCTCCAGGGTTAGAAGGTACAGGGTAAACAGATACACCTGCCCTAAAAGAGATTACAGTCTCATAGGGAACTAAAAGAGGGAGTCAAGACAGGGTGTGGTCAACACTAGTGAAGAGAAACAAGCAAGCACATGGAGAATTCAGGAAGAATGCTCACTGCCAGCAGAGGGCACCCAGTGGAATAGCAGAATGTGATGGGAGCGTGGACCCATTTACATGCAATTTCAGGGAGTTACAGATTATTTGAAACTCAATTCTGAGTTTGCTCTAGGGCTCATTGATTGATAGGGAAAACAAAAGCTTCCAGCTCAGGGTCTCTTGGTTCCTGGTCCCAGTGTTTTTTCCACTAAGCCATCAATGCCCACATACTTTAGTTCCACTCCCCTTTCTCACAAAGATGATAACCTCAGACCACCACCCCAAACACAGAGACAAACCTGGAAAAAAGGGGATGAGATTCACCTGCAAGAAAGGCCCCTCCCCATATGCAAAGAAACCTAGAAGCCTGAAGCAGTTCTGTCCGTGTCTCAGTCCTATCCACTCCCAAACCCACATAAGTCTCCCTCCTCCCTCTCCCTCTCCCTCTCCTAACCTTCTTCTGGGCCTCTCCCTGGCTCAAGGACACTCAGTGGGACCCCATGACTAAAAGACAAACTGCCCAGGCTAGCATTAAACATCTTCCGTGATAGGGCCCTGATATGCCTTTCAAGCCTATTTTCCATACTCCTCCCCATACATCCTTCTCCTCTGGCCAAGTGAACACCCAATGACTCCCTGCCTCTTAACTTCTGCTCATGCTTGCCCTTGAGTACAGCATGCCTTCCCCTTCAATCCAAATCCTGCCCATCTTGCAAGACTCAGCTTAGATCTGGAGTGGCCAGGTACACCTCAGATCCTGACCATGTAACATCCTTCCCCTGCAAGGCAGATCAGCTGACATTTCTCTAATTATTTTCATCCTAGTCATTCCACTTGCTGCCTCAGATGCTGTCACTTTCTGTTCACTTTAAAAAACTCCCATGTGGAAATTCAAAGGACCTCTGAAAAAGCCCATTTTTCCTGGTTCTAAATAATAAAAAGTGAGCCCTAAGGAACCAAGTGGAAAGTATTTTACTATCCAAATAGTTTGTTCCAACTTCAGAGAGCAGGCTTGCTAAGACTGCTAGAAATAAAGCTTTGTGATTAGATAAAAGCTCTGCAAGGAACATGAGAAGCATCAATCTAATCTACAATCTTGGTATTGGCATTCTCTATTTACCAAAATACTATTAACAGGTCCTCTATCAGACCTCAGAGGTAAAAGAATGTAACCCTTCCACCTCTTCTGAATTCTATTTAAGGCCTGTGTTACCATTTTCTTTGGTGAATGAGCTCTCGGTTCACTGGGCCAGAAGGGTCTCAGAGATCAAGGTATCTGGTCAACCCCTTCACCCTGGCAATGAGGACAAGGAGAGAAGGCAGCACTTGCCCAGATTCAGAACCTATAAATTGGTTCCAGTTCTGGTGCTCTAACTAAGAAATCCTTTTATTTCTACTAAAACAAGTTCACTAACAGAGCCCAACCCAAGGCCAAGGGATGTGTTTGGGGAAGGAACTCACGAGAGCCTTGGTGGTTTTCTCAGTCCGGTCTTTGGCAAGGTTAAAACCACAACTGGGACAAATCCTCGGTTTATGCCGGTTGGTGTAGACATAGCTACAAGAGGGATTCTTGCACTTTCCCCGGCCTCTTGATGTTGCCAGGCCCAAATCCTAAAAAAGTAAGACCAACGTTCAATTCTTCAAAAGTTGAGTTATACCTGGACAGAGCCAAGAACCAGGATGACCAGCTATCAGTAAATCAGAGAAGAAAGTAGCAAATGCAAAACCAGACTTAGACTAACTTCCAAAGAGCCTTGAAGCAAGATCCCTTTTCTGCAGTTATCCCTTTTCATCTTAATACAGCCTATATAATTTTGTCAAGTCCTTCCCCATCTGTGAAACAAGTGAGTTGACTGTCAAAGGTCAGGGACTCGAATACCTCCAGGGTTCAGACACCTGGCAGAATGAAGCAGGCCTGTTCTAACAAAGAGTACAAGAAACTGCAGTGAACTAAAGGCTTCAAGCCCTTCCTAAATACAAATTGTAACTTCTGAAATACTTAAGCTAAAAGCTCTGGCATTTAGTCTCCTATGACAAGCTGTTGTCTAATCAGCCAAACAGAGGGTCCTGGGCACTTTCCACCAGATGGTAACCTGAGTGGCCAACTGTAGCCAAAGGGAGGGGGTGGTGAGAATAGCATGGCATGCAGAAGGTAGTAATTAGGTCTTTGGAAAAAGAAACCTGAGCACATGCTTGGATAAGAGACACACTCTCCTTAAGGATCAGGCCAGACTAGGTACTAACCCACCAACCTGTGCTCTCTTGTTCACTACTGGATCCCTAGCACAAGGCCTGGCACAGAGTAAGTGCTCAATAAATCTTGTTTTGAGTAAATGACTGCCTATATCTGGTAAGAATTTCTAAAAATGTAGATGCTCTCTCAAAATCTATGCATCTTACTCAACTCAGCCAGAGAACATGTCAGAGGTATCCGGCTGGTTGATATCTTAAGGATCAACAAAATTAGAGAATGCTAAGAGGAAGAGAAGCCCCAACATGGTATCCAAACCAACGCAATAGACAATAAAAACTGAGAACCAGAGAAGGAAAGAGCCTTGCCCAAGGTCACATGGCATGCTAGCAGCAGAGCCAGATCCACTTTTGGATTAGATTTTTTTGACATCTAGTGTTTATTCCATGATGCTTACGCTCTAAAAGGATGACTCCAGAGTTACACATTTGTGTTATGTTACAAATGAGAGAGGGAGAGGGAAAACCTTGGTGGGAAATGCCAGGCTAAACAAAATAAGTTACTTCTAAAGTACTTCTCAAACCTTTAAGATACTAGGATTGAATGTGACTCTACTTTGGGGAGGAAAAATATAACATTTTCCAAACTTGTCTATGGAATACACTTTTGAGGCTAAAAGGTACAAAGACTGTTGAACGCTAAAACTGGAATGTATTCTCATCTCCAACTACTTTTAGTAGAAATATCCTGATCTCAGCTTTACAGATCTCCTGGGAAAAACAACAAATCTAGCTGATTTACCCAGGAGCTATCATTTGTATTAGTGACAGGGTCTTCAGAATCAACAATCTATCCCTGACCCTACTCTCACTCCTAACTACCACTACTTCCCACCTACCGCAGACTCCTACTCGCCCTCAACCACAAAATCAAACCACCTCTGTGTCAGCCCATCACCTGGCTACACTTACCAGCGTGACAGTGCAGCTGTACTTATATGGAGGAAACATATCAGGCTTGACTTCTACAACTTTCAACTGAGATGTCCTATTGGCCGAGCCATTTGGTAGCTGTGGATCAGAACAAATTATTTAGTGTCTGAACCTCAGACTCCTGAGGTCCTGTGTTCTAAAACAGCTTGAAGAAAGTTTCCCAGGAAATTTGTAGTCATGTTCCAAATGAGCAACTTCACAGGTTGCCACACTTTTTCTGTGCAGCTTCTAACACTGCATGTTAGAAACACTATGAATCAGTTTTAAAACTACCATCAAGTGAGAAAAGCATGTAGTAGTTATGTGGCTGGATAATGCTGGCATAAAAAGAAGTCTGAAAGAGTACTCACTAAAGTGCTCCAGGGTGAGAGAATATCATGATTGTTTCCCCTTTACCACTATCTACAAAATGTCAAATGTTCTATACTAAATGTAGATATTACTTATATAATTAAAAAAGACAAAGAAAGCATTCTAAATTGAAAGTATTCTGTAATACTGAATTTAAGTTGATGTATAGAACATACGATTTCATGTACAGTTTAAGACTAGCAAAAGGGCTTATTTGAACAAATACCAATTGTTTAGACCAAAGAAAACTATTTACAAAGAAGACTGGAAGTTTACAAAGTAAAGGGAATAATCTAAGGCCTGGAAATCTACAAAGTGGTACACTCAGTGCTGACACAACACCTGGATGACAAGCAAGTCAGCCTTCAAAGTAAAAGCTGGTTGATATTCTTGTGACAAATTCAGAACTATCAGACAAAGGAAATTACCTGATATAGTGCACATGGCAAAGGAGATGGTAGGCCGATTTTCCTGTTCCAATTTGGTCCATGACAGGGTTTTCAAACTACAAGCAACAATCCACTGAGGGGTCGTGAAATTTAATGAGCTAAAACTAGCACTTTGAAAAAAGAAATGGAAAATACCGAAGTGACTGCATACAATTAAGGGCACTGCTTCATTAAACTTTTAATGTGTGGCTGTATGCATATATTTACTGGGCTTTGATGTAAAAATGTGTTTCCTACTGAGGGTCTTGGTCAAAAAAAGCAGTCTGGTGAAGAGTACTGATTTAGAGAATTTTGATAATAACTATTCTAGCCACGTATGGCAAAAGAACTAAAAAAATATATATCTAAGAATAAATGTGCTGAAGTACATGGAATTTTGACACCTCAGAAATCTTAAATAACTATATCGTTAAATTGAATGAACTGTACTGGCTACAAACCAATATATAGAGTAAGAGCCATAATTTTTTGGTTTAAAAAAATTGTATTAAAAAAGTAAACACACACAAATGCAAAAAAGAACTTAAAGGTTAAACGAGCACACACCAGGCTGTTAATAGTAGTTAGTTCTGGGTGGCAGGACCTCAAGGGACTTATTTTCTTTCTGCCTTACCTGAATTTTCTATGTTTTCTAAAACAAAGATGCATTCAGTTTTTTAAAGGAGGCTAAAGAGACATGACAACTAAACACAATATCTAATCTCAGACTGGACCCTGTACTGGAGTAGAAAAATGCTATAAAGGACATAATTGAGTAAAACTGACAGGGTTGGAATACAAATGATAAAGTATTGTTATCAGTGTTTCAGTAACAGAATATCCTATTCTTAGGAAATACACCCTGAAGCATTAGTAAGTAAAAGGACACATAGCCTTAACTTATGTATATTTTATACATGCACACACATATGGGAGGACACATATGAGCACATTATAAAGCATAATGGACTAATATGTTAACAATAGATAATTGGGTAACAAGTACATGGGCGCTCTTTGATTTTGCTAATTTTTACTTGTGCAAGTGTTTTTCTATGTTTTGAATTATTTCCAGATAGCTTTAAAATATCTATTTATTTTATAACAAGAAAAGAAATTAATTAAAAAGTAAATAACTCATTCATGCTAAGCCTCCTCCCAGAGGTCCCCCAGTGTAATAAAAGTCTGTTTTTTGCATAGTTTTGGGACACTAAATGGAACCCCTGTTCTTGGAGCAGACAGCTCCTCCTCAGGGAAGGGAATGCATCTTACCTTCACCTCACCAGTGTTAGATGGCTGTTGGATGGTCTGGCCCAGCTGTTTCAGCGTGCTTGGCTTCAGGCCACAAGTCCTCACAGAAGGAGTCTTATCTGAGACAACCAGGAGCCAAACTGGTAACTTAAGTGCACTTAGTCTCCCTAAGTCTCTCATCTCCATTCTCAACCCCATACTCCTGTCCCCTTCCCATTAGACAGCCCCTCCTCCTGGGTCTGTCCCAGTCCTTACCACTCAGGGGAAAGGCCTGCCTGGCCCTAGGAAGTCCCATGCTGCTGCCTCGGCCCACATTAGCTGGAGCTGGGAGAATTGCTCTCATGGGTCTTGCTGCAGCCAGTAGTGAAGGCTTGCCCCGTGCTCTGCCTTTAAGCTCTGGGGCTCTAAGACCAGGTATGAGCAGGTCAACTCTGGAAAAAAAAACAAAAAACAAGGAGGAAAATCTCCTAGAAATTCAGGACAAAGAGAAAAGAAAGAGAAAAGTGCAATCTCTAAATAGCACTTATTTAGAGGAGTAATTTCATTGTTAAACTGTCAGGCTTTAGACAGATGGGGTTCAAATAAAACCTGTAAGTAGCTGTGTGGCCCTGGGCAAGTAATTTCAGTCTTCTGCTAACCTCAAGTTCCTAGTATGTAAAACAGGATAATTACATATACTTCATGGGGTCATTATGAAGATAAAAATGTGCAAAACAGTGCCTACAGTGTACAATAGCCGTAATATAACATCTAATTAGTCTCTAATTAGAGCAAGTATTTAAAGCATATCAATCTCCCACATGAGAGCGGCTGAGAGACCCAAAAGAACCACCTATTTGTTTCCTCTTGTAGCTTCCAGGTTGAGCGCAGAGCCTGCCGCACAGAAGGCCTCAACCCATGCATGTGCTAAAGTGACTCACTTGCCCAAACAAAAGGTCTCAAGTGCGCAGCTTTACCCTCCACCTCTAAGGACACAGAACCATCTCAAAGTACATTGTTTAAAAGTATACATGTGTACACATAACAATACACATTTATATATTTGAATATGCTTAAAATTCTCTCTAGAAACAGGATGTTGAGAATATTGATTGTCTCTCAGAACTGGAAATAGATGCCTGAAGGATGGGATAGAAGGGTGAATTTTTTCAGTGTAAATTCCTTATACCTTTTGAGTTTTACCATGTGAATGAACGTATTTCATACTCAACAATAAAAAATTTAAAACTATAATAACATAAACCAGAATTCCTAAACATTGGCAGTATTAACATCATGGGCCAAAAAATTCTTTGTTGTGGGGGCTGTGCTGTGCATTGTAGGATATGTAGCAGCATTCCTGGCCTCTACCCACTAGATGCCAGTAATAACCCCTACACCAACCCGGTTGTAACAACCAAAAATGTCTCCAAACATTGACACAACATCCCCTAAAGGCAAAACTGTTCCCCATTGTGAACCACTGATATAAACAAGGGCTTTCAGTTACTAGACCACAACTACCTCTGGGAAGGGGCTACATGGAGAATCCAGTTAAGCCTTTAAGGAGGGAAAGTGTGTGTGTGT